GTTATATTTTGTTTTGTTCTGATTTTTCAACCCGTTCATCCATCCATCCATCCATCCATCCATCCATCCATCCATCCATCCATCCATCCATCCATCCATTTTCTTCCGCCTATCCGGGGTCGGGTCGCGGGGGCAGCAGCTTCAGAAGGGAGGCCCAGACCTCCCTCTCCCCAGCCACTTCTTCCAGCTCCTCCGGGGGAACCCCAAGGCGTTCCCAGGCCAGCCGAGAGACATAGTCCCTCCAGCGTGTCCTGGGTCTTCCTCGGGGCCTCCTCCCTCCTCCTCTTAACTTTATTTATGCAGCCAACGATTCTCAGGAATGATCAAAATGAGAAAAAATTAAGACTTGACAGAATTAAATTTAAGACCTTGGATGCAAATCTGGGCGTTTTTCAGACTTTTTCAGGCCTAAAATTTTGATTTTCAAATTTTAGACTTTCTTAGACTTTTTAAGACCCGGCATGAACCCTGATTTAAATTCATGTGGTGGATCGTGTTGCGCTCACCTGAGTGATGCATCAGCAGGGTGGCGTTGGCCTTGGCCTGCTGCAGGGCCGACACCCACCTCTGAAACTCGCCCTCCGAGGTGGCCTTCAGGTGGTAGCTTCGGCCTCCGCTGGTCAACACGAAGTGACAGGTGTCGCCCACCTCGATGTGGGCTGTTGACAAGGGGATGGTGCCCCGGCAAGTGTGAGCCATCTCCGCCTGGGTCCTGAGAGAAAACATGATCCGAATTTTATCTGATCCATTCAGGACTTATAAAAAGCTTTATAACCCAAAGCAGTAAGCGATAAACATATAGAATTTAGCACTGCAGTCACACACAGAGAAGTGGTTGTGTTTGTTTTTTTTTATCACAGCAGGTATGCAGCATTTTTAGGTGCAGCCAATTTACAGGTATTCCATCAATAGAGCAGGTATTACAACTTTAACTTCAGGGTTTTTGGTTAGTTATCTGCAAAGAAGGAGAAAGCTGACATGACCTATGTTGTCTAGTGATAAAGTTGGAATTTAGTTTGTTTGTAATTGACTAAGATAAAATGGAGACAATGATTTTGCCTGTGTGTTAATACGCATGTGTGTATACTGTACGTGTTTGTTTATCTGTAGTGTTAGCAAAATACTGTACCTCCTTAACAAGTTGACAAAGTTTCATGAGACTCATCAAGTGAACGATGGATGTACGTCTACAACTTGCTAACCCAGCTGGTTGTGAAGTGGTCAGTGACCTCAAATTGTTGTCTGAACCGTTTTGCTCAAGAGCACAGGGACTGAGCCACTGAAGAGTTTCGATATAATAAGGTGCTTTGTTTTTCGTTTGTTGATTTAGCTTTTGGAAAAGCTTTGTTTAGAGCTGGTCAGTTACTGACTCACACAGATTAACGATCCCAAAACCTCACACTGAATCAGGATGTCACCAGTCCAAGGTCTCAATGAACACAGACGATAACGGACTCTGGCGGACCACTGCTAAGTCTGCAAGTTAGAAGACTTTGCCATAAAAACAAAGGGTTCTCATTGACCTCATTATCACCTTTTAACTTTTCTTTTATACCAGCAGCACTATTGTGGGCTAGCGATTAGCTTGTAGCTAGGAACCACAAAAGCTAGCAAAATAAAACACTTGAAAGAGGCAGAGAGATGCTACCAGAACACACTAACACACTGCGCTAGTCATAAATCATGACCCCAAACCCAAAATACAGTCAAACCAGCTCTGAGCTTTGCTGTTCATAATCTGATGCTGTGGGCAGCACTAATCTAAAAATTAGTTCCACTAGCCCTAAAACACTAACTCAAAGTCCCCTAATTCTAAAGCACTAATGCACTGAAAGTTTTAGCAAAAGCTAATTCTAAAGCGCTAAAATAACCCAGTCAACCCATGAACATTCTTCAACATACAACATGAGTCACATATTGACATGTTGCTCTATTAAGACTCATCGTTGATATTCCACAGCTGGATTTGAGTTCATATGTGTCATTTAGTGGATAGTGACACACATGAACACAATGTGTGACAGTTTTCACTATCAGCTGTTAACATTAACGTTGATCAATAACATTTATAGACCTCAGTTAGTGCTTCTAAATTTAGTCTATAAATTTAGCAAGTGCTAATCCACTAATAACTTTTAAAATTAGCAAAAACCTTAAAGCACTAATCAGGAAATGAGTTCCCCTATTAGTGCTTTAGTGCTTTAGGGGAACTGTGCCCACCACTGCAGATGCATTTATTTTGTTGTTTGTGATCTGCAGGTCCTTACAGAACCATCTGTTCCTGGACATGAGGAAGATTAAAGTCAGGTCGCTGATTCAGGTTAAAAACACTTTTTTGGCAGTGTGAACGACTCAAATGACTCAAGTGAATCAGATTATTTTACTGAGTGACTCAGAAACTACAGAATTAGTCACCTCTAGTTTTATTTTTGCCCCCTTTCAGGTGCAGAGCCCCCCCTACAATCTAATTCTAAGATCGCACACACCTGTTGACTTACAATACCTTCCTATATGGGGTGTTGTTTGTAAAGTTACACAGTCAAAAATTACCACCAATATTTTTGTTTTATTTAGCCTTTTATAAGAAAAAAAGAACAGATTTATTTTTCAAAGTCAGTTTTTCACCATATGATTCATACATTTATAAATGTCATAGTTTATAAAC